AAGGAGCTACGGAGCCGACGGAGTGGAAGGTGGCTACTGTAGATGGATTAGATGTTAATCATCAGCTACAGCAACTAGATCCGAAAAAGAACTATGCTGTTCGGGTACAGGCAGTTAGCGATCGCGGTCCTGGAGTCATCTCAGCACCTCAAATGATTCGCACACTTCCTCTGGGTTACTTCCTTTTCTATAATCACTGAACCTATCTGAAGTATACTGAAAAACCTTTTTGCTTTCAGCTCCCGCCCAAGTTGTGAATCCAGATATCTCAGTCTTCGATAATAATTCCGTAATTATCGAATTTGTACCACCGGCGGATCCTGAAGCGCCAGGAAAACAAATCAAGGTAAGTAATGTCAACTTAAAGCGACTGTTACAAACCGCAACTTTAAAAACTATTGAGCAACTGTGTGGCAACAACTGTACTACTAGGTTGTTTTTAAGTATCCTTTAAGGTTTTTTTGTTTGCGTCCTTCTTTTGAATTGAAGTTGGCTGGTTTTGCTCTTCAATTTCTGCCTTGTGAACTCTTTGCTTTGCAATCTTATTACGCTCTTTCCTCCCAATCGGTTTTTTTCTCCATCATCCAAACCGCTTCTCTAAGATTTAATGCATTTAAATTTCAAAGAGCAGTCGACAAATATATGTCGGGTTTTTGTCAGTATGCTGACACTTCTCATCCCTTTTACGCTTAGTCGCTACTCTTTTAGACCATAAATTGTGAATATTCTATTTTCAATCTCCTTTTGATATCCGTCTACTCGAAGCTAAATTTCGGAAATCAAAATCTAGTTATCTATGCTGATTTTAAGCGGAAAATAGTAAACTTTTCACAATCAACTTTCAACATTATCTGTGACATCCTTTTCACAATGTGCTATTGCTTACATCTTTTTTAATCCAGACCTTTCTCTCACTAGACTCTCAGCAACTTTATAAAGAAATTTCAGACGTTACATTGTCATAATAACCCAAGTTGCAACGGACGTAAATGTTATGTGCTTCAGAAGTTAAGCTTGAAAAGCTGAATTTCCTTTCTGATATTTTTTGAGTGATGAAGCGTAAAATTGAGACTATTAGCGCACCAAGAGGCACTGAGAAATCTACAACTCCTCTTTTTTCCTCTGTCTTATTATGTGGCGCACTCTGCTCATTCGTTTGGCGTCGCTTAAGATGCCTTCCCATTATTTTGATGCTCTGCGACTAACTATCACAACTTCCGTATTTAGCAAATGTGAGTGAAATAATTAGCATTTCGAGGTGGAGGAAGTTACTATCGTATGTTGTTATCGTTGAAAAGTTGCACTGTTTTTGATAGCCGTCGTCCATAACCTTGGCTAAATATTCAGTATTCGCGAGGCCTGACTTTCCTTTCATAGACGCAAATCATCTCTCCTTCTTGATAATTTCTAAATTCTTCCTACATTTTGCATTCTTTCTCATACCGCTCTCACTCACCACACTTTTCTTAATTTTATTTTATTCTAAATTTAAAATCTATTTTTAATTAAATTTTATTTTAAACACATGATACCGGTACCTCTTTATTCTCAAATTGGATTCAAAGTTTTGGCATGAAAAATAACTTTTTGAAGTGATCGATTCAATTTAAAAAGTGTCTGCTGGCAAGACATACTCCTTCGCTGGCTCCATCTCTTGTTTAATGTGTTGCCTTATTTCAGGACTTCGTTATCCAATACACGTCCGAAGATCCACCAACAGACGAAACAGACTGGAAGGAGCTTCGTTACACTGACCCAGACGATAAGGACAACATCACTGTAAGCTTCACGTCGCATCGGAATTCAGTGAACGATAGAGTAACCATAATGAATTTTTAGATTGTTCCTATTGACGGTGAGAACTTCAATCCAGACACTAAATATCATGTGAAGATCATTCCTCGCGGAGAGATCGATGGGCCTGCCAGTGAACCGACAGTGTTCACGACTGGAGATGGAG